CTCCCCAGCCGGGCCCTGGGCCCCGTTCTCTGCCGGCATTACAGCCGCCTGCCCCAGGCCTGCCAGAGAGCAGCTGCCATCACCCCCTGCCCCTGCCCCTGCCCCTGCGTGTCCAGGAGCTCCCTGCTGCCCTCCTGCCTCTGACGCCAGGCCTACCCTACCCCAGCCCTTCACCCCAGGCCCTGTCCAAGCTGCCCCTGCCTCAGCAGGCCACGGCTCCTGGGACACAAGCTGCAGGTCTGTGCAGCGCCAGGGAGCTGGAGCGGGCCAGTGCCTGTGGCCTGCCAGAGTCCACGTGAGGCCCGAGGGAGCCTGCCCCGGCGTGGAGAGGCATGGCTCCGCGGGGCAGACGCGGGCAGCCAAGGGTGGCAGAGAAGCCGAGCCCTCCAGGGACCAGGGGAGTTCGCTGCAGACGGGGTGAGGGCTCCTGCCTACCCCTGGGCCCACCCGTGCACGACGCAGCCAGCCTGGGCCAGGGTGGGAGCAAAGTGGGGGGTTTATCCCGGATTGACCGCTCCTGCCACTGAGTCTCTCACCTTGCCGGGGCCATCGGCAGGCCCCTGGGACGGGTCTGCCCCCCACGCGTGGGCCAGGGGAGACAGAAGTTTGTTCTTTTCATCCCTTTGGGCCTGTGAGCGAAGGGTTGGACATGGGCAGGAGCTGCAGGCCACGCTGGGAAAGAGGAGATTGCCTCCCAGCAGGTGCCCGAAGCTCAGCGGCCAAAGCCCTGCGGCCAGTCCCAGCGGGTCGCGCTCGGGCCCTTCCAGAGCCGAATCGGCAGGAGGCGCGAACCCGGCTCGAAGTCCAGAGGACCCTGCTGGCAGCACCAGCTCAGACGCAACGTCCTCAGGGTGGGGGCAGCCCGACACCGCGGCCGACGAGGCAGAGCCCAGGGGACCTGGGGCCGAAGGCGATGCCAGAGCCTGGAGGGGAAGAAGACAGAGCGTGAGCTGCAGACATGGAAACCGCCACAGCAGCAGGGGCAGCTGGAGCGAGGCGAGGCTCTTCCCTACGAGCACTGCGGCGTTTGGAGGGGGACGACAAGGCTGTGTAAGGAAACAAGTGCTGGACCTGCCTCCGTTGCAGGGGAAGGCCCTTGAAGGTCATCCTCGCATGGCTGCGGGGCAGGAGGACAAGCCCGAGAGCGCCATCCCGGAGACATGGGCAGGTGAGAAGGGACTAGCTCCAGGGACAGGCATGCACAGGAGGGGCCACAAGTCAGGAGTGAAGACAGGGAAGGGGCTTTGGGTCCGGGACAGGCCATGAAGGGAAGCAAACTTCAGGGCAGACCCTTCGGGGCCCCCCCGAGAGACTTCCCACAGCCTCCGTGCAGACGAAAGGGCCCGGCCGGGAGGGGCACAGGGTCGTGGGGCTCTCGCTCAGGTCCCGATGCCTGCGTCGGTAGGGAATGACATAGAGGAAGCCCCCACGTAGAGAGATGCAGGGCCGGAAGAGGCAGAGACAAAGGCTGGCGGGGGTGACCAAGAGCCAAAGGAAAGCGATGGAGTACCGGGTCGGGCCTGGGGGTCTGGAGGGGAGACGGTGACGCCTGCTCTCCCCCCAGACCCGGGAGCAGACAGAGGGGCTGAGTTAGTAGCGGGAGGGACACTTCCATGCCCCCCGGGCCTGAACCCAGGGGTGGGTCGCTGGCCAAGCACGGGTCCAGGTGACTCCTTTGAGTGCAGAGAAGGAGCAGAGGGTCCGGGGAGCTCCCTGGGGCAGGGGGCTCCTGATCTGCCCCTCGCTGGACCCATCAGGCTCGAAAGCACCCGAAAGGGGCAGATCCTGCACACCCAGCACACACCCGGCTGGGACTATTTGATGTCCTCACGGTATTGCGGTATGGACCGCCAGTCTCTACGGGTTGCCTGCGGATCACACGCCCGGCTGGGAGCGCTGCCGGCAGCTGCGCGGTGCCGCAGGAGCCCGCAGGCTTCCTTCCAGGAGTGACGGGTGCGAGGCCTCGGGGCTGGAGGAGGGTGAACGGGAGGGGAATACTCCTTCAGCAGGACACAGCTTCCCATCCCGAGAGAGGCTGTGGGAGTCAATGGCCAGCTCCTGCGCTGTGGGGGACCAGGTGCTGGCCTGGATCCCAGACAGAGCGGACGAGCTGCGAGCAGCCTGGCGAGGCCGTGTCCTGCCAAACATTGGCTGCCAGATGTGAGAGACGCGGCAGTTACCTGGCCGTGGCCCAGCTGTGGTGCTTCCCGTGTAAACATGATGAAACCTTGCTATGCCCAGGCTGCTGCGGCCGGGCCCCTCTGCCAGGACACGGGGCGAGGACAGCGGCTGCAGGATGGAGGGAAAGGGCCACGGGCACGGTCGCAGCGTGGTGGGCACCAGGGCAGGGAGGCGCTTGCTGCCAGTGCCCCCTGTTCTCCAGTCGGCCAGGCCGAGTTACAAGTGCCCATCACCAAATAAATCCAGGGGACCCCCCCACCCAGCCAGGCATATTCCAGGGGATCCCGGAGAGCCCTGGAGAAGGAGGTGCAGGAGATACTGGTCATTAAACCACCTTGAAGCTGCGGTCTTCCCCAGCAGTGCCGGTTCCACAGCCAGATTGGCAGGGGTCCGAATCTGAGTGCAGTCCCTGTGCCCCGGGGGATGAGCATCTCCATAAGGTCAGGGAGCAAAGGTCTCACCATGAAGAGGGAGACATGCCGGGCAGGACCGGCACAGGTAACACACTGGACACGGGTGGGCTTGGGGACTGAGTGCCAGGACCCAGCAAAGATTGATGCCATCCAAAACTGCCCAATCCCAAACACCAGAAGCAAAGTGCCGTGTTTTATGGGACCAGTGGGATTTTACAGGGGGTTTGAACCAGGTTTGAGCTCCACTGCAGCCCCCTTGGCAGACCTGCCTGGGAAGGGCATGCCAGACGGGGGCACCGGGCCAGCACGCCCGGCCAGTTAAACAAGGCTTTGGTGAGTGAACCCCGACGGGGGCCCGGACTTTTCTGCGCCCTTCCCTGGGTTTGCAACGGCTTCGGACACCGGCTTAGGGCCTGACTTGAAGCAGCAGGAGGCCCAGCGAGCGCTGCAGCCAGGGTTGAACAGTCAAGGGGAAGCCGCAATGCCATGTTGAAAGAGTGACCGCTGTTTGGCCATCAGGACACTGCAGCCCTAGCCACGTACACGGCCGCTAGCCACAGAGATGGCCACAGCGCACCGGGACGGCGATGGCGTCGCTTGGGGCGAGAATCTGACATGTCCTGAAACTGTAACGGGAAAGAGCGGCCTGGTCGTGAACCAACGCTCATAGAGCAGCACACGGGACCGGGCGGCCCCCGTCACGGGCTTGCGTCGCTTGTTTGGATGCTACGTGCGGAAAGCGTTGTGGTGCAGGGGCTTGTTCTGGCGGGATTGTAGGGGGCTAATTGCCTCTGCCGGGAGGGTCCCTTTCCCCAGCCCAGAACCAGGGGAGAAGCAGATACAAGCCGGCAGCTGGCATGTGGCTGCGGGGCGAAGCCCCAGAGAGAGGAGACGGACGGGGGAGCCTGCCCCGAGGGGGCTGCAGCAGAGAGGCCTGGAGCCGTGGGGCAGAGGCGATGGGCCGAGGGTGGCAGAGAAGCCGAGACCTCGGGGGACCAGGGGAGTTGGCTGCAGACAGGAAGTGAGGGATCCTGCCCGCGCACGATGCAGCCGGCCCTGGCCGGGGTGTCAGCAGGTCGTGTCCAGCCCTCCCGTTCTGCCCCGTCTTCCCCGGTCCCTGGCAGCGCCCCTGAATGATTGGAGTCGGGGGGGGTTATCCTAGATGTAGCCGTCCTGTCTCTTGTGCCCGCCGGCCGCGGCCACCGCAGGGAGCGCAGGCATCGCGGTGCCCAAATCATCCCCACCCAGCGGCTGCCTGACGTCTCCTTGAACTGAACCCCTCCAGTGACGGAGAGTCCCCCCACCCCCGGCGTCTCTCCCACTGCCTCCCAGTAAAGTTTTTCCTGAAACCCAGTCTGACCTGAGCCAAGGGCCCTGTCTCGGCCGGGGTCCACGCAGCGCCCAGCACATCGGGATCCAGTCTCGCCTGGCCGGCACAGCCTGGACAGCAAGGCCCCTTGGGCTGGGGTGGGTAGGTCCCTGTGGCTGCGGCTGTGGCAGGATTTGGCCCGGTGCTACCTTTCCCTTTCTGAGAAGTGCCGGTGACCACGGTTTCCTCACTTCTCCTTTCAGTTCCACCCCCCGGGCTGCCCCAGCGCCGCCGGCCCCTATATAGTGTGGCCCAGGGTGACCGAGCCGCCACATCTGCCCAGCACTCACCCGCGCCCAGCCCGGCAGCAGCATGGAGAGGAGCCCGCTCGAGGTAGGGACGGAGCCACTGTGGGGCTGGGCCCAGGCGGGGGGGGGGCTGGAGACCTGCCCTGGGGGAGCCCTGGGTCTGCGGGACAGGCTGTCCGGGCAGTGCCGTGACCGCCCACAGGCCCCAGGGGCAGGGGCAGGGGCAGGGGCAGGCCAGGCCCAGCCTCTGCCACAGGAGCACTACGGCCATCTGCCCCCCTCCAGTCCACCTGTCGCCCCCCACCTCAGATGCCCAGCACCGGCTGCCTGCCCTGCGGCTGGGCCTTTGTGCCCCCGGCCCCTCCTAACACGCGCCTGTCCCAGCACCCAGCCATCCCTGTCCCATGGCTCCTGCACCGGGGAAGTCCGCTCGCCGCCCCCCGGCCCATGCCGCTGGGAGCCGCTCTGCACCCCCGCGCCCCGCGCCCCGC